TCATCTGAACATGCCCTTGAGGGGTTTACTTGATTAACTAAGGTGGGGTCTTCCACCCTAAATACAGATAGTACCTTCCCATGAGCTAGGGCCTCTGCAGAAAGAAAGAAGAAAGCTGAGCATCAGCATTTGTGGCAATGTGCTTCTTAACTATGGGCACAGTAAACCCGGAACCTCCTGCTTCTGCTGCCATTCACTCCCTGCCATGGTGGGCTGGATCTCCTGGAACTATAAGCTAAAATAATCCCCTCCTTCACTAAGTGTCTTTTGTCAGCAGATGAAAGGGCCCTGTAGTCAGGGTCCAGGGACTCAGGGATGAACAGAGGGGAAGTAGGTATAGCTAGAGATAAATGCTTACAAAGACTGGGGAGGGATGTCAGGTGTGGGAGCACACCATTGTAACTACATTAGGTACAAACAACAGTACCAACACATCACATGACTTCTCTGTCCAAACAGTGAGGACATCGTCTCCAGACCCTAGACAGTTTAACTCCTATTTCCTTCACTAGAATACTTAGAAACGGTAGCATCATGAAAAGATTTTGCTTCAGAAGCAGGAGGTTCTAACTCCAGGCTGAGAATTTAGTATACTCACTCTGGAACTCAGGTATATAAACTTAGAAGTAAATTGATGGCTCTGGTCCCCAGTATCTCCCTTGGTGAAGAAGAGGAAAGCCAGATCAAATGGCACAACACAAGATAATGAAAGAGTACAGACCACTACAAAGTGGAGCATAAATATAACCAGTTATGGTTTGGAAAATGACTTGTTACAGTAGCATGTTCCTAAGGAGGCTCTTCTCAGGCTCTGCTCGACACTCATGAGCTCAACAACACACTGAAGTACTCCATGGGATATCACAGAAGTCTTTGGAAACACAAACACTGACCACTGTACGGATCTCCACCCTTTACTGATAAGGGTAATAAGAAAGGAACTGAGAAATACAACTGAGTTCCTTAAAGACCTGGAAACATGCAAGAGGTCCTGAAGCAAAAGAAGCCTGAAGAGGAAAATAATTCAGTTAGCTGATTTGGGGGAGTAGCAATAGATAGAAAAGAACTATGACCCATTCCAAAAAAAGTGGGCTTACTTCTCTGAAAGCCAGGGAACACCTAATAACTTAGGTATAATTTGTAATATCCTCATCTAACTCTGTTAACATATGTGTTTTCCTGAGATTGTAATAGCACCTCAATAGCACCTCTGCCAAAAAAGAAAACAAAAATTAAAAGGGCTTTCCTACTGCTTGGATGCAATGAGGGAACAGAGATGCTGACAAAACTCTTTATGGTCACTGAAATAAAAGAGATCCAGGAAGAAGCACTGGAGTTGAAGAGAGCAAAGAGCACTGTACATCACTGGTCCAGGCATGTCTAGCCTCTGTGCTCTCTCCACTTGTACACTTGAATGTCCTCCAAATATTAACTCAACATGGTACACAAAAATGTCCATAGAAGGCTAAGTGTGGAGGGCTAGCAAAGTACTAGCTTACCAAAATATTAGACACAACTGAAAAAATATTTAAACCAAAGATAGAACTAGAAAAATCACTCAAAATATATTCCAGATATTCAAAAAGATTAAAACCATACAGGCTGAGAAAGGAAGCAGAGAAAAGAACCACTAGGGCTGTTGGCCAGCCTGACTACATGAAGCCAATCTAGGCTACAAAGTGAGACTCTTTCTTACAGAAAGGGACAGGCAGAAGAGGCAAACTATATTCTTATTTAAACAGTTACATATACTCACAAGGAAATAATGGCAAAAATTAGAGAGGAGCAATATGCAAAGTTGGTAAGTGGAGAAATTTTTTTCAGTTCTGAATTAAGATAAAACCTTAAATCCATTGTGACAAAAATTTTCCAAGCAATGAACTCAAAAAAAAAAAAATTCCATCCTAGGACATGATGAAATACAGAGGCTGAGGAGAGGGAAGGTAGGAAGGCAGCCCAGGGGAGACATAGATCATCTCTGTAGGGGAGGCATCTGACTGCTGAGGGTAGCAAGCAAAGACAACTGTCTGAAGGCAAGCAAGAGGAAGAACTCTGGAGAGCATAGGGAAATCCAAAAGGCAGTGCTAGGATCCTTCCCTAACCTGGCAATCTCTTCTAAAACACAGCCACAGAGTATCTTCCATCCCACGGGATCTAAGACCACAGAGATAGAGGGGAAATAGAGGAAGGAGAAAGTTAGGAGAAGAAGAGAGTTATGACTGATAGCCTGAGCTGCCTCAGATCCATACTGCTTCTATTGTAGCTGCTATTAGTCTGAATTGAGCCTCAACTTCCTACTCATCGAATGTTCCCCAAATTCCTGACCCACAAAGACTATGCAGAATATTAAGATAGCTAGTATGATTTCAAAAGTTTCAAGGTTTAGAGATAACATGTTACATAGAAATTAATGACTGATTCATCTAAACAGCTCCGGGGATCAAGCAGAAGAGGCACAAATCAGTTTCATGGGATGATGTCAATCAACCATGACTTTCTAGTAAGACATTGATATTTGACACATTTAATGGTGTATACATGTAAAGTAAGAAGGTCTTCATCACAGTTAATAGTGCTAACAATGATTATTCTAACTGTTCTCAGAGAAATGGGCCTCAGGGAATTCCTGCAGAATTAGAGAGTTTTACAGTAAAACACTGCACTCTTAGACATGTATCGTGACCGTTACCTGTTAGCCAAGCAAACCAAGCAAGAAATTGTTACAATGAACTCACCCCCTTTCCTCCTGACTTTTGGTCAAATGGAACCATGGTGATTTGTTTGGAGTCCCGTTGGTATGTACAGTAGTGCTTCACCCAAGAAGTTCCAAAGTGACCTGTAAAGGAATGTTGCCTATTAACCATCTGCACATGTCCACTGTATCATTAACCGCTATGACACAGAGATGGGCCACAGTGCTCAAGTACTCAGGCATAATGCTGACACTGTTTAAGGGATAATGTATTCCCTATACAGCTAGGCTGAAACAGACAGAAACCTGATCCCACAGGCTGAAAGTAAAACCAAAACAATGCTTTCCCCATCCAGACATATAGGATCTCTACCTCTCACTAATGCTACATCCAGTGGGTCTTCAAATACAGGGGAGGTATCAGTTCCCTGGGAAAATAAATTTGCATGCCCATCATCAATCACCATTTGAAGTTTCCACTCTCTCCCCTGACTGAGGTAACTGAGGAAAGAGCATAGAAGGGCTCTTCCAAGTGTCAGTCAACATTTCTATCTGAGCAGTGACATTGTGCCTCCCACACAGCTGCCCGGTGACTAACCTCAGGGGTTCTGACCTATTTCCAAACCCCTAATTTTTACTTCAGCAGAATTCCAAAAGATCTGAGAAGGAGACATGGAAACCTCAGAGACACCACAGATGCAGACTGGAAGTGACTAAATGCCTAAATGCAATCTAAGGAGTCTGTCTCAAAATTCTCCCCAGGAAAGAGGGCGACATCACAGAACCAATGCCAAAAGTCTCTGGCTGTATACCCAGTGCCTGGCCAATTACTTTATTTTCAACAACAAAGTGCTATTAGAGGAAGAAGACATTATCAGTCTGCAAGGACTTCAATCAAATATTAGAGGAAGAAGACATTATCAGTCTGCAAGGACTTCAATCAATATTAGTTTTAGATGTTTACAGAGATCACATAATAGAAATGGCCACAATTACCAATACCATGTAAAGAATGGTTGCGTAGTGATTATTAATGGTTTGGAATGATTGCCAAATATAAGTATAGATATCATTTAATAATCTGAAAAGCAACACAGGGGCTACAGAGACAGCTTGGTTAATAAAGCTCTATAAGCTCGAGGACCTGAGTCAGGGCC